GTGGTGCCGTCCAGCCTGGAGCAATTCACTCAGCAAGTTTGCCAAGCCGTCCAGGCGAAACGAGTTGAACGAGTTCTCCAGGTTTGGATGGGCCAACCATCCAAATGAGCCTGGGTGTCAACCGAGCCCGTTTCATGTTTCGGGCGGTGATCGGACCAATCCGACTGACCCATCAGGTCCGAGTTTCAAAATACTGGTTAAGAAATTAAAACCTTCAAACTTAATAAGGGGATGAGTTAAAAGTAGGTTTTTACTAATAAATATATTATTAAACTTTAAATAAAATCATTGTTTCTTTTTTAACAATAAAAATTACATTAACATAACTAGTATCTACTGTTTTTTTTTGTGAACAGTGTGGAATTTTTTCAAAAAAAGGGGAAGGAAGACTTGAAATTTAATCCCAAGTTCGCTAACCCTAAGCATGTCCCGCAAGGAGTGGCCAGTAGGCCACCAACTGCTGGGCAACTAGTATCTATTGTTAAAGGGATGAGAAAGTATCAAATCTGATACTCAAACTGCACATGCGTGCCCCCACTTTGCTTCTCGATGCGAAGCCTGGCCACGGAGCCAGTGTTGAGCTAAGTAAGATCATTGTTGTATATGTATATCTCTGACTTTAACCATCCCCAAATTGGCTAATTTGGATGGTCCCCTTGGGCGAAAAGCATTGCAGAACGGACACTGCACACGTTTCGACAAAGACATGGTTGGGCGACGATCGATAAATCCTTAACCGGCCAACCCATCATTTGTTTGTTCCCAACCTCCTAGCAAGTGGCGGGTGGTAGGCCCCTTCAAATCCCCCGGAAAACGATAAACAAAGAATACGAAAAACGGTATCGATTGACCCTCGGGCCTCCCTGGAAAAATGGTTTCCTTTCTGCGATTATGCATAAACCCTTCACGATTCTAGACCTTTCCCTTCTCCCCAACTCCTCAATGTCATATCTCATATTCCTTCTTCTTTGAACATTTCCCCTGGTGGATTTTGTTTTCTTCTCCTTTTTCTGTCAAAGTTCCCATTTTTTTTCACCCAATATACCTCTTAAAACCCAGAAACGAAAATGGTTTTTCCATTGATTTGTACTAATAATCTTTCCATTATAAACACCCCAAGATTCTCAAAAATGGTTTAATCGTCAGAGGGTGGCTTCTCATCAGCTTCACTTGAGACCAATTTATTGTTCTTCCCAGCATCCTAAGATTCATCACAATTCCAATGCAATTGAGAAGAGAATAAAACATCAAACCCATATCATGGTGATAACCCCAAGAGAGGTTTCTTCAAAGAAGGGGAAGAACAACACGGGAAATGAGGAAAGGAGAGTGTTTTGTTAGGTTGGTAGGCAACAGATGCTGGCTTTGTGTGGATTTGGTTACTGGGTGCAAGGATTCAGGTGCTTTCCGTGGTTGGCGCTCAACTTCCACATGGCTCATAATCTCAATTTGTATCCGTCAACGTTGCAGCTTGTGCAGAACTTTGGAAACCTTCCCATGGTGACTAAACCTCTCTATGGTGTTCCATCTGATGCTCTTTATATTAGAGGTGCCCGTCGGATACCTTGCATTTCCATTGGAGGTTTGTTCATTTCTCCTTTGTTCATCAGCTGTGTTTCCCATATCTATCATAGTGTTGATAAATTCTCTGTTTAATCTTGCTATGTTTTATCTGTTTATGTTGCTTCATTCTACTTGGTTTATGCATTAGATTAAAAAAAATTTCCGAACTTTCTTTGAAAGGAATAAAAAAGGTATCTGCTAATTTCAGATTCTGTTTAGAATTTGAAGCTTCCTTTCCTGGATTAAGAAAACTTGAATTTATGCTCTGAACAGTGAAGGGTAACTAATCTTTAATGAATTGTGTAATTTTGTACAAGTCTTGCTTTATTACTAGCAAATATTCTGATGCCATTGATTATTATAAACCCAAGATACAGAAAAAATATATGATTCAGTGATTGAAGAGCTGATTGAGTTGTACTGATGAGCAAATGTTCAGTCTTTTTGCAGGTCCTGTCTTGGGGTTCGTTGGCACTGAGTCCTGTTGCAGGCAAAGCCCTTCCTACACTTGTGCCATGTATTCTCCTCGGTAATCTGGGAGCATCTGTTACAGAAGTCGCAAAGGATGCTCTTGTGGCAGAATATGGGCAAAAACACAGAATTGCTGGACTCCAGCCTTATGCATTTACGGCTTCAGCAATGGGTGGAATACTAGGAAACTTAGTAGGTTGGTGTTTCTTGCTTAAACACCACCCTTAACTATGTTCCTTCTATTCCCAGTTCTATTATCTCTTCAACTTGCAATTTCTTTATCAGCAAGAGAGGAATCTCTTGGTTTAGCTCCCTCATCAGAGTCTAGTCTGACCCAAAACCAGTTCTTGAAAGTATAATAAAAGAGCTATCTGATCTTATGACAGCTATCAGTGAGGAAAGCATCTCCAGACCTCTTGCTTGGATTGTAGGTTCCATTGCCATGGTTCCTGTTCTATCTAGTTCAATCTTTTGCTATCAAACTCAATGTCTCAATCTTGATCCTTCAGTTTTTGGGATGTCACGAGTGATTGGCCAGTTGATGCTTCTTTCCTTGACTGTTCTTTATGATTGTTACTGGAAAGAAATGCCCATGAGAAAACTAATTGGTGCCATACAGGTTCTGTATGCATCTTTCCTTCTTCTTGACCTCATTTCAGTAAGACAGATTAATATTGGACTCGGAATTCCCAATGAAGTATTTGCCCTTTGTTTCTCTGGTCTAGCAGAAACTCTTGGACAATTTAAAATCCTTCCCATTTCGTTGCTACTGGCAAGTTTATGTCTGAGGGGTTGTGAAGGATCTTTTACTTCATTTTCAGCATCCATGTTGTGTATCACCAATTTTCAGTGGATTTTCGGGTGTTGGAATGGCTTCTTGGCTTGGAATAACCTTTGGCGATTACTCAAGCCTGTCTACTGGAATTGTGATACAGTTTCTTCAGCACTAGTGCCTTTGGGATGGATTCATCATGTTCCCATGTCTCATTCCGTTCCTGAGAAGGAGAGAACAAGAGGTATGAGTAAAAGAACGTGAAGAAACAAAGGATTGAAAGAGTAGTGGTTGGTTCAATCTTTGTTTATTGCTAAGAAAGAGAATCAGAGATACCTAAATGAAAAAGTTACTGAGTTTGATAGTAAGAATTCTTCAGAAAACAGTAAAAGGAAGAAAGTTGAGCTAGCAGTTTTTCTCTGAAGTTGATGGCTTCTGTCTTTGAACATCAGTTCTAACTTCCTCTGACATGCCAGTCATCATTATAGCTCAGGTCATTATTTTGCAAACAGAAGAAGCTTTTCTTCCTTAATTAATTCCACCTTTCCATCCTATTTTTTTCAAGTTTCCTGTGCCACTACTTCTGCTGTTCTGGTAAAGATCATCTTTCAACAAATTGAAGCTCAATATAGATTGGCTGGACCAAAGAATGATGACAAGCAGTAAAGACACCTGGGTGATCTATGTCAGCGTGGTTGTGGAATGAGGATGCCCATGCCAGGGACTTAGGGTCGCTGAAAATCTTGTCTAGCTCTAGAAGCAGAGCTGCAACATTTTTGTAACACTAGATATACATGGTTCTGCTGCTTCTTGTATAAGAATAACCCTAAATACATATTTTAGATTTAGGTTAAACGCCTAATTTGGTCCTTGAACTATTATACGGACCCCGATTTGGTCCCTAAACTAAAAAAAAATCCTAATTTGAGTCCTGAGCTATTGTACAGAACCCAATATGGTTCCTACTATTTAACAATTTGCCCCAAGTTGGTCTTTCTGTACAAAAAACAACCGACATGTCCGTTATTTAACGAAAAAAAAAATAACTTAATGACAAAAAACAGTAATTTAACGACAAAAAATAGTAACTTAACGGTTATATGTCATGTTAATAACAAGACACATTAGTAGGTTTTTGTACGGAAGGATCAACTTGAAGTAAATTGGTGAATAGTAGGGACCAAATTGGGGTTTTGTACAATAGTTTAGACATCAAATCAGGGGTCCGTACAATAATTTATGCACCAAATCAAGGATTTTTTTAGTTCAGGGACCAAATTAGGGGTCCATACAATAGTTTAGAGACCAAATTGGAGATTTAACCTTAGATTTACTTAAGAGAAAGCCTTCGGCTGAAGCCTACTGATCTGACTTGCCCTGGTTTCTTCTTTGTGTTTGTTTGTTTCACATAATTCTCACAGATTGTAAGAGATATGCATTCTATTCTCATGTTATCTCCATGACAATGATGAATGACCCGAGACCGATATACAAAGGATGGATACATGACAGGAGATTCGACCCTAACATTTGACAGCATATGGGTGCAGAATAAGGCTACACAAAACAAACCGAATCAATAACCTCTTATTTTTTGGATAACATATGGGTATCTAAACTTTGGCCTACTAATCCCATTGCTACTTTATCGCTCGTCTAAAGTGATAGATGTGATATGTTAAAATTATTTGCAATTCAAATAGTGTTAGAAAGATTCAAACTTATATTTTCAGCATGGTTTGAATGGCTCTAAGGGACTTGAGCAAAATCCATTGAGTTAAATGAGCTCATATTGTTGTCACAATCAGATATACCAAAAAAGTGGAAATGAGATTGGAATTTGCTGAATGAGACAATCTGATAAAATAGGATAGCACTTAGCTAATAAATTACTTCTAACTTTTGTAAAGAATGTGACAGCAAAGATTATCTAAAAGGTCAACAGGGATTGTACTAATCTTTAAAGTACTTACCACTGAATGATAATCTGATGCTTTATCCCTTTTCAGCATTAATTTTATGCTCTGATTAAAGCCAAGATGAAAAATTTAATAGCTCATAAAGTATTCCTTGCCGGAGAATTTCCCGACAGGAATCCGGCATCACCTTCCAGAAAGTGGATAGGACCAGGTGGAGACATGGATTAGGTTTTCAGATTGTACAGTTCTTTTAACTCTTTAAGTTCTTTAGTTGATTGAAGCAATGAAACTATTTTTAATTGAGAAAATTAATGTTCGTAAAAAGTGCTTAAGGTTTTAGAGTTTGTTAATAAGTTAAAAGTGCATTAGTTGTAATTTTTTTTATTAATTTGTATAAAAAAATAAAAAGTTACTTTTATTTTTAACATTAATGAAATAAAGACAAGTATATAGTGCTTAAGGTTTTAGAGTTTGTTAATAAGTTAAAAGTGCATTAGTTGTAATTTTTTTTATTAATTTGTATAAAAAAATAAAAAGTTAATTTTATTTTTAACATTAATGAAATAAAGACAAGTATATATGAGTTTAATTATATAATTAATAAAATTAAAATTGATTTTTATTTTTTTATAATAATTAATAAAAAAATATAATAAATACAATCTTAACTCGTAATCAATCACTAATTTAAAAAACTAAAGGTTTTATTTAGGAAAATCTCTTGATAAAGAGATTACTGTGTACATGAACTATTTATACCAATATGGAAGCATCCCCTACTAATTAATATTCTTTGATCCTCACTTGCTATCTAAGTTTATGCTATTATGATTAAAGATGGGACTTCTCCTGTCATTGGATGGTCCCCTCAGTACTTTCCATCATCAAATCAATCCAAATCTTTAACTTAGTGCACAAATCTCTCAACCCTCACATAGAATTGGATTAAGAAACAAAATTGTACCAATTTATTATATTATCATGATTCATAATCAGACTCAAATTTCACCCCTTTATCTTGCAATCAATCCAGAACCCTCTTTGTCATCTTGTGAAAGACTATTAGTGGTAGAAGACTAACAGTAAACTTGAGAAAATCAGTAGCACTCAAAGAAAAAAAAAATTAACAGAAGGGAGTAGGGGTGACTAGATTGTGGAAACTAGCTTTGTTGGTTGTTAAACAGGAAGCTCCAAAATTGCCATTGCCATCATCCAAATCCAAGTTCCAGAGGCCCTCCCAAATGATTTCCTCACTGCAGGGTTGATCAGCAGGATTCAAGGTCACAGGATTGCCATTGATAATCATCATGGGGTAGAAGTAGCCCTGTTCTTGATCAGTTGTAGCATTGCTGGTATATTCATAGACCAGTTCCTGCTTCATCTGGGGCACATATGCTGCTGCTGCTGCTCTCTGCTCATTTTCCTCGAGAAAGGACATCATCTTTTTCATTTCCAATTGATTCATCTGCTGCTGCTGCTGCTGTTGTAACTGTTGTTGTTGTTGCTGCTGCTGAAATTGTTGCTTCTTAAGAAGACGAGCTTTCAACTTCTCAGAGTTTTCTGGTGAAAGCTTTGCCTTCTTCTTGAAATGGGTCCTCCAGTAATTCTTGATCTCATTGTCAGTTCTTCCAGGCAAGTTTCGTGCAATTGTAGACCACCTGCAGATTTCTGGTTAGCTTCCTTGGTAATCAAGTTACTGCTAGATGATCATTTTCCCATCACAACATATGTTCAGAAGGTGTTTGATTCAATTACCTGTTGCCCCATCTAGCATGTAACTCTAAGATTATGCTCTCCTCATGTGGGGTTATTTGCCCCCTCTTAAGGTCTGGCCTTAGATAATTCACCCACCTTAATCTACAGCTTTTCCCATTCCTTCTCAGCCCTGTATAACACATCCAAGAACAAAAATTAATCTCTACCAATTTGAAGTGACAAATACCCTTTTTCACTACCAAAAGAACAAGTCTAAATCAACCAAATTGAGATGAAATTTGCTACTTACCGGCAAGCCTTGCAACAGAATTCCATCTTCCTTCTCCATGCAGCCTAACATATTCAGTGAGCAGCTTATCTTCTTCAGTAGTCCAAGGGCCTTTCCTCCAGCCCTCTTCAAGGGCACCCCAACCCTCCAAATGCCCAGCCATAACTCCCCAGGAGGACATGTAGAAAAAGGTGAAAGAAAACGAGCTTTGAACTTAGTATTATTGCTTAGGTAAAGGTTTTTTTTTTTGTGTCTAACAAATGTTGGCATCTGGGGTTAGTCTGTTTCCCTATTTATATATGCACTAAAGGCCTTCTCTGAGGAGTCACCTTAGAGTCCTTTTCACAATCATACCTATCCTTTATCCTGTACAAAGGTATCACAATATCAACATCTTGAAATGACCCATTTGTCCTCTCCTTCTCTTCTCATCCCAGTCCAAAATGTGGATAGAAATGTGGGCAATAAGGTCAAAAACACAGCTAGGAAAGAAGCAAAGGAGATATGGGAATGTAAAGGCATTGGGTGACATGTTCTAGCAAAGATCATATTCCAAATAGAAAATATTTTTCTGATGCTAAAGTGAAGACAAAAGGGGAAAATAGCAAGTCCTCATGATTTATGCCACGCATAAAATCTAAGATCATTAGAAACACTCAATTTGTTTTTGGCCGTAGAAACCCTAATTAGATAAAGGATTTTATTTAATTTGTAATGTAAAGTACAT